TTCCTGCTCCTCTGATGCTGCTTGGCCTGCTGTGTTCATCCAGCTCTACACCTTGTTATGTCTATTTCTCCTCTGACACAGACTAAACATTATTTGGGAGAATTTAATGCCTGAAATACCTATCAATTTGAACATTAGAAGCAGGTTCCATAACACAGTATTCTGAGAGGCATTTTGCAAGTAGCAGTGGGTTTATGTCATTTTCTGGGAAGTTACACCAGGAGCATTTGAAATGGAATTTCAGAGTCAAGCTCTTTGAAGGATACTCTTTAAAACACATGCTGGGATCCTATCAGAATTTATGAGAAAAATGCCCATCCCTACTACAATGAAGCCAACAACAGTTAAAGACAGCCTTGACTACTGATGGGAAGATATCTGTTCACCATCATGACCACCATCCCCCACACACTGTCATGTTGGCTTTTCTTACTAGTATTCAATCTACGTCAAAAATACTCACTGGTTCCAGGTCGAGCATCTGAAACATCCACAAGAGGCCCAGTGGCCTGCGAGACTGAATGGTAATGGACAGTGTGTGTGGCTGTTAGCGACTTCTGTTTCACAGCCTCTCCAAAGTCTGAATCCGTCAGTAGCACAGTAGATCGGTCATCTGTAACACAGCAGGTGTACACTGTTTATAAATCGGTCTTTCTATAGATTTTCATCCAAGAGCGATATTAAAATGAAAGGTGGCCTGCAGTTTGATGCAATCAAGAGAGGCTTTATTGCTTCAGAGTGGACTTTCTGGTGAGTTAGGTTCCTGTACAAATCCATTCTGAACTTCCCACCATTTCTATGATTCTGAGCAAGGACACAGAAAGAACTTGCAGGGTTAAATGCACATCTGCTATCTCAGCAAAACACTGCACCTGAAACATTTTGAGGTTAACTTACTGTTCAAATGAAGGGATAAAAGGCAACCAACTGGAACAGCAAGTGTTCACAAACAGCCATGGATTAAATTACCAGGTTTTCCACCTTAACAATGCTGACTGTTGAAGATCATGGACAACTTCTCTGCTTTTGTTTTGCAACTCTTAGCCACACTCTGTAGAGTAGACAGGGCCTTGTTTACGTGCCTCAACGTAAAGATGGCACCACTGACAGTGCAGCACTCTGTTCAGCAGTGCACTGGAATCACCCTAGATGATGGGTTTAAGTCTTTGGAATGGGGCATAAGGCCACAACCTTCTGATTCAGAGGTGAGGCTGAGAGAAAAAGGAGATTAGTGTACACTGTTCAAGTTAAGGACTGACTAAGCGCCAGCTCCAGTATGAGGAACTGAATGGCCTCCTACTGTGCTATAACTTATACGGCTCTCTCCTGTCACATTGGGTATGCGCATGTGCAATTCCACTTCCTTTCTGATTATTATTGGCCCTTAAACCTTTGTTTACCCCAAAACTCCATTGTAGTTTCAGCTTTATCAAAGTGATCTTTTCATTCTCAATGACAAGTAACAGTTAATTATTTGTGCACATCTCTTTACATGATATATATAAAATACTATGTAAACGCACACATACAGGTAAGTTCTCTTTTGGCATTGCACATGGTTTCAATGTGATCTATTTACATAAAGTGGTGCTGAAAGATAGGAATAAATAGACATCATGCACTAGTGCAATTCAGTGGTCATTTCAAAGTCATTAATCCTGTCCTTGTTATTATATAAATATATTTTATATAATCATTTGCAGGTAAATACAAAAGATGCAGTGGATTTGGGAAGCAAGGAGTTTGACTTGTCTGATCTCCTCAACAATCCTGGCAGAGGAGTAGGCTGAGATGCTCCAGCACCATCACTGGCCGGGCAATGTAACCTCAGTGTGACCACATTGCAGCTGTCTGATATGCTGACATAGTCATTTTATATTAGAAAAAAGTTGATGAAGAAATATAGGCATTTTGATATCATATGATTACAATATGGTGACTCCTACTGGTAAGTACAACTGTGCAGGGATTGAACAAAGGCAAAAGGTTTTTTTTACTACCTACCATGAAAGGTTATCATGGCAATGCTTACTGTCTAATATTATTGATGAAGATTGACCGCTTGAACAAACTACTGGAGAGCTGTCAGTGCCTTGTGCTACCAATTGTAACTAGAAAAAAGTCTGTACCTATATGTATAAATCATAGAATCCCTACTGTGTGGAAGCAGGCCATTTGGTCCATGCCAACCATCAAAAGAGCATCCCACCCACGACCACCCCCTACCCTATCCCTGTAACCCTGCATGTCCCATGGCTAATCCACCATCCCTTGACACTATGGCCAATCCACCTAATCTGCAGATGGTTAGACTGCAGGAGGAAACCCACACAAACACAGGGAGAATGCACAAACTCCACACAGCCAGCCAGCAAAGAGTGGAATTGAATCCAGGCTCCTGGCACTATGAGGCAGCGGAGCTAACCACCGAGCCACCATGCAAGCATACAAGCTATACAATCATAGAGCACAGAAGAAGCCCAAGCAACCCATTGTACTGATGTTGCTTGTTTAAAAGAGGTTTCCAATTAGTTCCATTTCTCTTTTGCGACAAACCTGCAAATGTTTCCTTTTCAAGTATATATCCAATTGCCTTGGGAAGGTTATTATTGAATTCGGAATGGTAATTATGTGCCTCCCTCTGTGCAGTAAATTACTCTTTGACTCCATGAATCTCTTCCCAATATCCTTTCATGCAGTGAATTACTGATTCATTTTTAAAAATCGCTTCTTCACTATTTTAATGTTAAATTGTAATTATTTTACTTTTCCAGTTGATCTTAAGTCTTTGACATCTGGTTGCTGACTCTTGTGTCAGTAGAAACAATCGCTCCTTAATTATCCTATTAAGATCCTCTATAATTCTGAACACTTTTATTAAATCTCCCCACAACTTACACTAAGAAGAACAAAGCAGCAGTTCCTCTACAATCTTCAATAGAATGAAACCCAATGGTACAATTCACAGTTAGGGGCAGGTTTGATAGAGTAGACAGTGGGAAACTGATAATGCATGTACAAGGATAAAGAACCAGTGGGCACAGTTTTAAAGTGACTTGCAAACGAAGCAAATGCGATGCAAGAAAAACTTTTCCACACAGCGAATAGCTCAGTAGAGAATAAACTACATGAAGGTGTAGTGGAGGAAAGTTCAGTTGAGGCATGGGTATGGGGAAAAAGCATAGAATTGCTAGTAAGAAATGATGCTCGTTTGAAGAGCCAATGCAGACACAATGGGTTGGATGACCTTCCGTGCTGCAACACTTCTGTGGTTCTGTGAATTCTGGCAAATTTACACACATTTGTCCAAGTCCTTCAGAGTCAAGGGCAAAATCTTCCACTCCCAAAGGTGGCAAGCTTGCTGGCAGGAAAGGTATTTAGTCTGGGGTGACACTTCCAACCCTCTCTCCCACCCTGTCTTTCACCCCTACCATAATTAAGTTGCCAAGGCTAGACGGTCTGAGTCATGAGGAAAGGCTGGCTAGGCTGGCACTTCTTTCCCTGGAGCATTGGAGGTTGAGGAGTGACCTTTTAGAGGTTTATAAAACCATGAGGGGCACAGATAGGGTGAATGGTCAAGGTACAGGAGTCCAAAACTAGAGGGCATAGGTTTAAGGTGAGAGGGGAAAGATTTAAAAGGGACCTGAGCAGCAATTTTTTCTCACAGAGGATGGTGTGTTTATGGAATGAGCTGCCACAGGAAGTAGTAGAGGAGAGTGCAATGACAACATTTAAAAGACATTTGGACAGGTAAACTGATAGGAAAGGTTTAGGGGGATATGGGCCAAATGTAGGGAATAGTTCAGTTTAGGAAACCTGGTCAGCCTGGTCAAGTTGGGCCAAAGAGTCTGTTTCTGCACTGTATGACTCTATGACTCTAAGTTCTAGGTGGGAAGGCCTCTGGTTGGTTTTCCTGCTCCATGAATTGAGTCCCTTAATTGATCAATTAAGGACTACTCTAAGGGCCTCATCTCTCTAATATTGGGATAAGCCCAGTCACATGTGTGCAAGTCCCATGCAGTATGTCCAAAGAATAACACATGTGGGCCACTTTTTCAGCCAATAAGGGCAGGTACAGCCCTTGAGCAAAGATACTCAAAGCCTGATCAAAGGGCTGAACATAGGAAAGGGAGCAGTTTCCTCTTCAATCTCTTTCTCACCATGTCCCTCCATTGCCAAGCACCAGTGCAGGGATCTCTCCAGCTCTCCAACCAGCTGGCAAGGCCCATCCAGCTCCTGAACAAGACTCTGCCCCTAAGAAAAGGAAACGTTGTCCCTCTAACTGCAGGACAGATTAGCGTTATATCCAGATTAATGGTCAAAAAGGCAATGAATTGAGGAATTAAACGACATAATTTCACGATTGGAGAGTGTTGAGATGGTGAATTTCATACCTATTGTTTCCATGGTATCCCTCTCTTCTATCAGAAGCTGTGCACGAGGGATATCGATGTGCATTCTCAGTGTCTGCTGCTGTTTATTCAGGGTATCAGATGTCCTTGTGTTTTTACTTGAAAAAGACAAAAAGAAAAAGCACATATAACCCAATATCTGTGCCTTCGGCAGAGTTCAGGTGTCAGCCAGGACATCTGACGTCTTCCACATAACGATGTAATTATCATTATTTCATTGCAAAAGCTTCCTATTTTTATTGTGTAGTTCTTCACTAGTTTGTGATTCTCTTTAAAACAAGTGCATGCTAGTGTGGTTGATGCCACTGGGGAAAATCCATTGCAAGCTATGGGTAAGTTGAAAAGGCAGCACTTCCTTGCGGCTACACAGCCCACTGATCTCCAAGCCATCTTTGTGTTCAGTTGAATGAAACAGTGTGAAATAATGGGGACTTGTGGGATCACATCTAACTGGAGCTGGATGTCATTGCCTTAGCAATTTCCAGGTCAGAGAATAAGATTTTCACCTCAGCAGGAACACAAGGACATAAGAAATGAAATAGACCATATGGCTTCTCAAGGCTGTTCTGCCATTCAATATCACAGCTGAAGTTCTATCTCGACTTCAACTTCCTTCCCCATTCCATTATCCTGTGACTATTACCCTCAGTTCTGGACTCTCCACTTTGGAGAAACAGTTTCTCAGCATCAAGGCTTATATATTTCAAACAAAAAAATATTCTTCTAAAGTCAAAAATGTTTTGGTGCATTTGTAACAATCTGTCCTCATAGGATAGGTCTCTTATTCCAGGAATCAATGTAGTGAACTTTCGTTGCCCCTCTAAGACAAATTTATCTTTCTTTGGTTAAGGAAACCAGACCTATAGACAATACTGTAGCTATGAACTGGGTTTGAATTCAAGGGTCATATTTATTTTACTAAGGTGAATGCTCCTCTGGAAAAGTTTGAGTAAAAATAAATAACAAAACAAGTAGCAGTAGCATAAGATAGCTCTCACACCTGCAAACTTATTAAGGAATAATACTTTCTAAACACAAAATCTGCAAAAGCTTTTAAATCTGAAATAGTTAATTTCCAATAAGAACAAAACTTATATTCAGATCCCACATCAAAGACAGGTAATCCTTTAATAGCTTCTTTAAACAGTCAATCAAATGGTGAATTTGGAACCCATTACCGAAATAACTGTAGCTTCTTAAATTCAGCCAAGCATTTTCAGTTAAAACCAAAGGATGACCTCTGTGTAAATGTCAACAGAGAGATCTATGGAAATTGACTGAGCAGCTGGCACTTTTTTTTTAACCTGATGGCTTCTTTCCAGATGGACTGCCAGGCAAAGCAATGTAACAGAGATTTTGTTTAAAAAGCTCTCCATGGCAACTACAGCTTTTTTCTTTTCATTGTAAAGAATGGTATTATTGAGAGAAATTTCAGACCTTGACGGTTATAAAGACATTCTCCAGCCTTCAAGAGAATTTAGTCCCCTCCATCAATTTGTTACTGCCACACTGCAAATTAAGATCCTTGGAACAGGCAAAATGGGATCTGTTTCTGCACAGCACTAAATTCAGGTTTCTTTTCTGAGTTGGGGTTTCCCACTTCAGTTGTACCAGTCACCTGCTGACAAAAACTGGATCTATCAGATGTCACCTCTATCTCTGTGTCCTTCCCAACATTTTTAAAGGTCTGTGGAGCATACAAACATCTGACACTGAGTTTCAGGAAACATAGGACACAACTCCACTGCAACAGGATAAAATAGGAAACAGAACAGGCAAGGCAATCTAAGCGAACCTTGACATTGCTGTGCGAACCCTTCAAATAAATTTATGACATCAATAACATTTTTTCAATTGCAGCCATTTGCTATATGTCGGCAATAGAGTATGGTAATTCACGACAGTCTCCTTGAATTAGAGGAATGGTTTAGTTTACATTATCTACAGACGCTCAACATTTCTTCATCTTTAAATATTTATCCAAAACATGCCTCCCCTAACAGGCACAGGGCATCACAATATTTAAACAAATGTGATCAGAACAATTGCTTCTAAGATATTTTAACATGTTTGGTTCCCTGAGAATATTAGCCATAACATGCTGGCGGAATAATGATGAGGTTTACATTGCTTGCTATTATTTAAGCATAAATTCCACAGGAACCTTAAATATAGGCAAAGATAAGGGCTGGAACTTAAATATTGTTGTCCAAATGCACTGTCAGTTTCAGGAAAATGGTATCTCACTGTCCTTCTCACCATTGAAATGTATTGAGTGAGCAATGTCATCACCATACTTAAAGATATGTACAAGTTAGTCTGAAGTGACTCAAAGAACTAGTGAACATTTTTGTATATTTAAACCTGAACTGATCATCAGAGATTCTCTTAACAATGCATTAGATGGCATTTGAGGTTCAATATGCTCAGTTGGCTTGATGGCTGGTTTACAATGCAGAGTGATGCCAGCAGTGTGCGTTCATTTCTGGCTGAGGTTACCATGAAAAGCTTTCCTTCCCATCCTTTCCCCTTGCCTGAGGCATGGTGAACCTCAGGCTAAATCACCACCATTTGTCTGTCTCTCTCTGAGACAGCAGCCCTATAATCTGGTAAGATTGTGGGGACTCGACCTTTAGATGTTAATTATCTCCATAGAACGTCTCTAGTACTGAGTGGCATTTCACTTCTTTACGTTTTAATTGCTGTCTTATTTTGCTCCTTTTCTCTATCTTTCTTTCCCTCTCCTTGTTTCATTTCTTTGCCAGATTTGACATTGGATTCATCAACTCTAGCTTACACTTTCCAAATCCAGCCGTTCAACAGTCCAGGAGGACAAGGGTAGGAGAAGAACAGAACGCTGCAACCTACAAGTTCCCCTCCAAGCCACACACCATCCTGACAGAGGGCCATATCTCTAATCCTTTCATGTCTAACAGTACTCAGATATCCGTATGCCGCATGGACTGCAGCAGCTCAAGAACGCAGTTCAGCACCAGTTTCCCAAGGACAAATTAGTGATGGGCTGGCCTTGCCAAATATGCTGACCCTAGCAATAACAAGTATAATAAAACACTTCCTTCTCAATCTATGTATTGTTATTTTAACACTCTGACTGGCTAAGTATTACCTTGCTCCATTGATGTAGATTAGAGATGCATGATAGAAAAGCATTCTATCTGGGTGCATAACAGCCTTGTATGGCAACTGCTTTGCCCAGGACCGTAACAAACTACAGAAATTTGTGTGCACAGCCCAGACCATCACGGAAGCCAACCTCCCATGCATGGACTCCATTTACACTTCTCATTGCCATGGGGAGGCTGCCAACATCAGAACAGCTTCTTCCCTGCTGTTATTAGACTGTTGAATGGACCTCTCTAACATCAAATAATGATGACCTTCCGTTGTGCACCTTCCTTGCAGCCGTAACCCTGTATGCCTCGCTCTGTCTAAGCACCCTATGATCTGTGTGTCCTTGATCTACCTGTGCTGCTAGCAAAACAAACCTTTTCCCTGTACTTAGGTACATGTGACTACAATAAGTCAAATCAAATCAAATCAGATGCCCCCTTCCCTTTAACTATGACTTTAATAGCTCATGCTTTCAGCAAATTGCCATACAAAATGTTTCAGGCATTTCTCTAGGATTTCTCTATCCAATTCAACCTGTGGATCAAAGACTTCACCCAAAACATGTTAACGACTTCTGACTGGCATACTGCAATAGCACAAAACAATCTGAGATTACTGATGCCCAATTTGAGGCCACACCCATCACCCAATGTTCGACTCTAGGATCACTGTCAAAGTCTTGGCCTTGCCAGGCAGCTCAACATAGATACCAGCTGGTTTCCCACTTTCTGAGAAGAGGCCAGCTGCTGAAGGATGTTTGCTTAGGACCCATAACCCACAATTGGCTGGTATTAAGGTCCATATCTCACTCTGACACATGTGGGTGGATGGAGAGACCGTACTCCTGCCTGGTGTGACTTTGGAATGACCCCCAGTGACATTGATTCTTCTTTTAAACAAGGACACAAATCCCCAGCTAGAACAGGTATCATCATTGACATTCTTCAAGATGAATGGCATTGAATACAGAAAAATCACAGTGCATTACCTCATCAGCATCTCGGCCAAACTTTTGGCATCTGTAAGAAAAGAAGATACTCATTGTTGTGCCTGACTCGAACTGTTAAAAAGAAAGAACCTTGAGATGGCACCATGCTGGCCATGCTATACCATGTGACAGCTTAACCTGGTAATAAAAACATTCAAATGGGAGAAAGAGGTCAAGGCTGGTGACATCTTTAAATGATGAGTCAGGGGAGGGCATGGGTATGTTCATTAAAGCAGATTAACCAAAGAAACTTGTTAAAGAAATTATGACACTGGTGTGCCGCAAGGATCAGAGTTGGGTCCACCACTTTTAGTCATTCATGTGAATGATTTGGACCTCAGAGTATAATGGGATCTTGAGCAGATGGACCAATGGACCAAGGAGTGGCAGATAGAATTTAATTTAGATAAATGTGGGGTGCTGCATTTTGGAAAGGCAAATCAGGGCAGGACTTATACATTTAACGGTAGCACCCTGGGGAGTTTTCCCGAATAAAGAGACCTAAGGGTTCAGGTTCCTTGAAAGTAGAATTGCAGGTAAGCAGAGTAGTGAAGAAGGCATTTGACACGCTTGCCTTCATTGTTCAGCATGGAGTATCGGAGTTGGGATGTATTGTTGCAGCTGTGCAGGACATTGGTGAGGCTGCATTTAGAATACTGCCATCATTCTGATCTCCCTGCTACAGGAAAGATGTTGTGAAACTTGACAGCATTCAGAAAAGAGTTACAAGGACGTTGCAAGGGTTGGAGGATTTCAGCAAAAGTGAGTGGTTAAATACGCTGGGGCTTTTTCCCCTGGAATGTTGGAAACCCAGGGGCAATGTTTGGAGGTTTCTAAAATCATGAGGTGCATGAATAGGGTGAATAGACAAGGTTTTTTTTTTCCGTGGGTAGGGGAGTTCAAAACTAGCGATTTAAGGTGAGAGGGGAAAGATTAAAAGGGACCTGCGTGACTTTTTCACGCAGAGGATAGTGTGTGTATGGAATGAGCTGCCAGAGGAAGTGGTGGAGGCTGGTGCAATTAAAACATTTCATAGAATCCCTACAGTGTGGAAGTAGGCCATTTGGCCCATCAAGTCCACACCAACCCCTGAAGAGCATCCCACCCAGATCCACCTCCTACCCTATCCGAGCATATCCCACCCTAGGACTATGTGCAATTTAGCACGGCCAATCCACCTAACCTGCGCATCTTTGGACTGTGGAGGAAACCAGAACACCTGGAGGAAACCCAGGCAGATATGGGGAGAACGTGCAAACTCCACACTGACAGTCGCCCGAGGCTGGAATTAGACCTGGGTCCCTGGTGCCGTGAGGTAGCAGTGCTAACCACTATGCCACCTTAAAAGGCATCTGGATGGGTATATGAATAGGAAGGGTTTAGAGGCTTTGGACCAAATGTTGGCAAATGGGACTAGATCAGTTTAGGATATCTGGTCAGCGTGGGCAAGTTGGACCGAAGAGTCTGTTTCCATGCTGTAAAGCTCTATAACTCGATGACTATAAACGTGTCTAACCCCTCAGTCTTTTCAGACGCTGTTCCCTCCGTCGTCTTCGAACAATCAGAAGCAGAGCAAACAGCAGCAGGGCAGCCAGCAGAATGCACGAGATGGTCACCAGCATTTTCAGTTCCTCATTAGTTGCCATTCCTTCCTCGGTCTGGACCACCGATTTAATCAGCGGTGGGATTGTACCTGTGTGGTTAAAGACACAATATGATTTATTTGCTCTAACAGAGTGATACAAGGTAGGAGATAACAAGGTGTAGAGCTGGATGAACACAGCAGGCCAAGCAGCATCAGAGGAGCAGGAAAGCTGACGTTTCGGGTCTAGACCCTTCTTCAGAAAA